TAGGAAAATCCAATTAATCTAGTATTACTAGGAAAATCAATTAATCTAATATTACTAGGAAAATCAATTAATCTAGTATTACTAGGAAAATCAATTAATCTAGTATTACTAGGAAAATCAATTAATCTAGTATTACTAGGAAAATCAATTAAGCATAATTCAAGATCAGTGATCTCAATGTTTTTAACATTAAAAATGTTAAAAACATTGAGATCATTGATCTTGAATTACGCTTAATTGATTTTGCTAGCTAGTTGTTTTCAATTAAAAGGGTTGTAATGCACCTTAAAACCCATCATTCAAAAGGCTGTGAACTGAACTGTGCTTTTAACCAATCGTATTGAATAACAACAACCACAATACTCGGAAAATATTACGAAAATATCAATATGATCATGTGACCATTTCCATTCTAAAGCCCGGATGAAACAGGGCAGTCACGCAAACCTTGATGAGCTGTTCTTAATACAATTATTAATTATGCTACTCAAAAATTTCTTTGAAGTTTGATTCTAGGAATCCATGTGGATCTTCTAGTATTTTATTGACACGAATACACTAACAACTGCACGAGACTACATCGTAAAACAGCATCAACTATAGTCTATATGAACTTATGAAGTCCAAATACATTCATTAAATCGCAGAGAGAAATCGTTCACTGCTGTAGTCCACTACTTAAATATCTTGAATAAAGGATCGTTCCGATTCTAAGTTGTTTTTCTCATAGTAATGTGCACACGAAAGCCACTGGAACAGACACGTAAACTCTCGTTATCTTTATAGTCGACGACATACCAATTATTACGCTTGATCGTATTTTTAATCATGGAAGGAATAATTGAGTATTGATTACGGTTGTATTCGTCAATAAACTCTTGATAAATGGCTTCAGAATCATCGCCTTCGACTTTGATGCTCAATTCAGAAAGCCTGTTACCGCCAACAGTTGAAATACCAAAGGAGAAAATATATCCAAACCAACGACCGATTTGGCGTGAATCAGAAACACAGAATAAAAGTTCACCATCCGGTCTGATATAGTGAGCGAAATTTGTGTACCAATTGTCGCGATCTAGCAAGTTGTGACTAGCCTTCGCCTGATCCATATTGTGTGTGTTCGTCTTGGTTATCTTGGACATTTTTACATCAAATAAGTTGTGCCTTTCAGTAAAGATAGTGTTAAAATTCTACTTGTTGAGATGATGCACTACTCGCGGACTTTTCATGGAGGCTGCAGACCTGACTCGTTCCCTGTCGCTCGCGTTGGATGATGGGAATGGGTTAGGTTCAACGCCTAACCAGCGAACGGGCATATCTCCCGTACTAAAATATAACGAAGGACTGTAGAAGAGTCAGGCTGCAGACTATATACACAGTCGGGTTTCATATGACGTCATATCCACTCAAGTGGGGGTCACACTTTTCTAATAGTTGGAGAACATAGGATGCGCTGACAGCCATTATTTGGCATTTTGTTTCTTTTTTTTAGGTGACCTCAGTTCAGTGATTGCCCCGCGCTTGATTCAAGAACGCTGACAAAAGAATATCATTACTAGCTATTGACAGTATTGTATTTGGCGCGTGTTTTCCTTCAACACGGCCGCCTGTCTTTGTCTGATAAATGTCCAGGGATTGATTGAAACCACCAACTATGGCGACAACCAAAACGTGAATAATTTAGCATGCCATCAAGTTCCTGGTCCAATAGCTCACGATCGTACTTGTTTTGAAGAAAAATGCAGTTAAAACAGCAAAACAATTCGATGATGCTTACAAGATAGCACGTAAATGATTTGAACATATTAATTATACAAAAGCAACTTTATACTTCACGAATACTTTGAACGAATGTAAAAAATATTGAAAACAATTTTAGAACAAGCTTGGAAACAAAAAGTCAAAAATGACTGGGCGGTTGCAACTTTGATATCTGATCGAAATAATCAAAATTTAACAAAAAAACACGAGATTGCAAATCTAGCTAAATACATGCCAGAGGAAGAGTATTATTCTAGTCAACTTTTTCCAACACACAAACTGATTCATTAACAAAAGTATATAATTGCTTTCCACAATTAAAACATCCAAAATCAGCCATGATATAGAACATCGGGCAAACTTCAGAGAGATGCACCTGGAGCAAATAGCACCCACACTGCTATATTTAACATAAATGCAGCTATATTTCCTGTTATTATAACTTGTAAGTCTGGAAGAAAAACAAATTGCAATGATGACAAAGCCTCCTAAATTTCCGACAAAACTTTCAAATTTCCGACAAACCCACCATTTGCACTCGAAAAGATAGTCTTTTAGATCAAAATTTCCGAAAATTTGTCCATTTTCTGTGAAGGTGGGTGGCCCCCCCCCCCCCCCCACAACAAGAATTCTGCCACTGATCAATGGTTACTCGCAAACAAACTTACACTTAACAAAACATGATTATCAATGCTCACGACAGGGCACAAATGTTTCAAAAGAAATAGCCAAATGAGAATGATAAGACAGCTTGTTCCCAAATTAACATTATTAAGAATACATGTCATTGTGTTATCGTTGATTATCAGTATTAATTAATGAACTACAACTAGGAGTTACTGTCGGAAGGAAATTGCTGCCTCGAATGGCACATGTTAGCGAGGAAACAACTTAATTTACAGTGAAACGGATATGTAAAATCACTTTAATTAATAAGGCACAAAAATATGAGAGAAAACTCAGAAAAGTAGGGAGAGACGGAATTGGATTTACCCTGCAAGCGCGCCAAATTTTACCGTCGGTTTTTTCCTACGGAGGCGTGGCTTGGGAGTTGAGAACAACAACAAATTTTCTTACTAATTTTTGCAAGTAACATTCAAAATGCTACAAATGTCCCAAGTCCGTCTTTCCCGACTTTTCTCCTGAGACGGACTTGAATCAAGTCTAAAGGAGTACAAGACCTGTTTCTTTAATGTATAAGGGAACAAAACAAGACTGTCTCTAAATAACAGGGAATGGCAACATTGTATGTACTTGGAATGCTTATATTAGCCACATGCCCTGAGTATAACCTCGTTGATCTCCACGCTTAATGCAAACTTTCATGATTCACAAAGCACAAGCAATTAACATTTCCTCAATCTGAGTTAAATCTTTCATTTCATTCTTATCCCGAGAACATCGTGAACACATATATGGTGCCTTCGGTTTAGATCAAGCTTCAAAACATATACCATTAGGATCAGGCATCCCAAAACAATTACGTGCATGAGCGTCAATCAGATAGAAACACTCCATATGCTTTATATAAAAGCATATTTATATTTAACAAATGTATTTGCAATTGCTATGCGCATTTTATAATAATGAGAGGGATTGTCCTCATTGATGATAACAAGCCCCTGCTGTTCTTTATTATTATTATTTGATTATTTGATGTTTATTGAAACTCTCTTGCAGTATATTTACACTGAATTAACGAGTCCAAAGTATTACTAAAACTATATTTACATAAATACATACAACTGTTAAAACTATGTATAAACATTAAAAATATTTAAAAGTAAAAAATTGTTCAGATCTTAAAGTTCTGCATTTAGTTGTATTCTTAAATAAAATAGTATTGTCTTGCCCATTTCGTAGGCTATACCTGCATTCGCTCATCTTATGTTTTGGCAGCATAAAATGCAGGGGATGATCCTCCTTCTTCATTTTAGTCGTATATTTTTTACATAACAGTTCGCGTCTGCTCTCTAATGTTGGTACTGCCATCATCATCGCCTCATTATAATTGTCTATGGAAGGGAAGATGGTTCGAAGTGCCCTTGTCTGTATTGATTCTATCCTTTCACTTAAATAGTCAGGGATCGCTTGCCATATTGGAACAGCATATTCCAATACGGGTCTGATAGTAGTTAGATACACTTTTAGTATATTCCTTTGCTCAACGCCAGCTCTACGAAGTACGCGGAGGGAATATAGCTTCTTACAGGCTTTTTTGTAGATATAATCAACATCATGTTTCGCTCGCTACTCTGGCTTAAATAAATTATAACAAAGCCCAGTCGAATTGTAATCAAGACCCAACGTTTCGACACTCCAGTCTAGTGTCTTCATCAGGGGTGATCTAAAACTGCGATCGTGGCTTCTTAAATACCCAAGGGATGACGTCACCTGCCAAGAAGATGCATATATTCCTCTGGCAAATAGGCACCGTCATCCCTATTCAAAGCATGATGACTCATATTTATCTTTGTCGCAGTCACCGCATGGTATAGAATATATAGCATGAGTCTTCTGATTTGTTTCAACAGGGTCTTTTGGCTTTGCGAAAATATGGCCTAAAGTCAAATAGGGTTTTAAGGCAACCTTAATATTACAATTACTTAAGATTCTCTTGATTGGTTCTGTGACACCTTGAATGTATGGAACTATTGCAAAACCCTTAACAGAGGTAT